TACTATACGTACTACACACACACACTATATATATATATATATATATATATATATATATATATATATATATATATATATATATATATATTGATATATTGTAGCCACAGTTTATACAAAGTGTGGAGTGTATCACATACCTACGGTCAACAATGCGGAGCAACTACCCAAACCAGTGATCAACGCATTTAACTCTTTGGTTGTCTTCTGGCTACAAATCTTCTGCTTTTTGAGCAACCTGTCGCTCTCTTTAACCATCAAATCCATTCTGGTTTATATGCTGTGTGTATGCTACCAGCACACTCCCATTCCAATTGTGACCGTGATTCCTTCCAAGGAGTTGTATTTAGATTGTTATACCTATATCAGGTATTTAGCTGTAGGGTGTAGAGTTTATAGAAACACAATATGACAGGAAATCGTCTCTGACTTTCGATGACGACAATATAAAAAAAGCACCTCGTCATTATCGACTTCTTGTGACTTCTTCCGAAATCACACAGTATGTACATTCGTATTTTATATAATAAAGTATTTTTGGTTCAAAAGTTCGGTAGTTTCAGAAAACATAGATCCAGAAAATAATAAATAGTTTTTGTGTTGTTTGTGGTCGTCGGGTTTCCACAACAACGAAGTTTTTATTGCGACAAAACCCTACTATGTTTTAAACCCTAATTCATTTCAAAAATCAGGCTTTGGAAGTTGGGATGTAAACCCAAATGACGATTGCTCATTGGCAAAGGATTGGCGCGCTTTTATAATTTTTTCGACTTCGTCCGTTCTCTTGTGTATTTTTTTTAGAAAGTAAATTGAATACCTCCAGGCTCCAAGGCTCCACAGGGGAGGGACCGCAGCTCCACTGGATTACGGTGTGTGTTGATCAACCGATAACAGCAGCTAACGAACGGTGTTTATGTATTTGTCTACATTCTACGCATATGTGACGTGAATACGTACATATTCGTCTGATAAATTATACTGCAATACATGTGCCCATACCGGAGTGGATGGTAATCAAATTTACACTGAGTTCAATACGATATGAACATCGGGGATCGAGGACTAAAGGACCTGATAGCTCATTATAGTCAACCGTATCATCGCGCGTACACAGCAGCATACTCTCCTACTGCAACACGCAGCCTTCAAGGATAGTTGTGTAACGAATATCAACATATAATAGAGTAGCGCTTGGTCGGAAGAGCGAATCGGCAGTCCTTATCCGCAATGTACGCTAAAACTGCCGTAGAACTGGTGAGGCATATAAACCAGACACGCGATGAGGTGGAGCTCATCTTTCCGCCATACGAGGTATAGTTTCAGTAGTTGTATACTAATTTTGGGTAGAAGTATGCAGATGCCTACTTAGATTGTAGTATGCAGATGCCTTAAGTAAGCAGATGCCTACTTAGATTGTAGTATGCAGATGCCTACTAAGATTGTACGACTACATACTCATCGAAAAGATCTCTTTGCTACCGAATAGTTGGAGCTTGCACGAATAGTTCAATATTTGGTATACGATGATAAAATAT